AACAGTGCTTCCTAGATAAGTGAAGGAGGTTACTTCCTTCAAGTTTCTACCGTTGACGGTGATTGGAGTTTGTTGTTGTTGTTTGATGGTGGTGGTGCGGTATCTTCATCACTTCTGTCTTCTCTATATTCACCTGAAGTCCCGTCTTAGCTGCCTCTTCTGTCAACTTGTTAGTTTTTGCCTGCAGATCTTCAAGTTTATGTGACATTAGGCATAAGTCATCGGCGAAATCCAAGTCTTCTAGGTTCTTTTCCGTCGTCCAGTGTATCCCCCTCTTCTCGCTGCCTACTGTTTGCTGCATGATCCAGTCCACCACAATAGGAATATCATGGGGGATAGTAGGCAACCTTGTTTCACTCCTGTCTTCACTTCAAAGGCATCACTGAGCTTCCCATTGTGGATTACTTGGCATGTGGCATCTTCATATAGTTGTTGAATGAGGCGGATAAAGGTTTGCGGTACTCCGTAGTATTGAAGCAGTTTCCAAATTACTTCTCGGTCGACGCTGTCAAAGGCCTTCTCAAAGTCGATGAAGTTGAGGTATAGAGCTGATTGCCATTCTACGCTCTGTTCTATGATGATACGAAGCGTTGCAATTTGGTCAGCACATGATTTGTACTTCCTGAAGCCTGCCTGTTCCGGTCGCAGTTTTGAATCCAGTGCGTCTTTAAGCCTCTCCAGGATGATGCGGCTTAATATTTTACTTGGGGTGGATAGGAGAGTGATTCCTCGCCAGTTCTTGCAAGCACTGAGGTCTCCCTTCTTCGGCAGTTTGACAAGGTAACCCTTCTTCCAATCGTCAGGTACCTTCTCTTCCCTCCACACCTTCTGCAATAGTGGTGTGAGCATGTCCGCTGTTGTCTCTGCATCTGTTCTCAGTGCTTCTGGCGGTATTCCATCTGGTCCTGCTGCTTTCCCGCATTTCAGTAGCTTTATGGCGTTCAGGACTTCCATTTTCGTTGGGGGATTTATGTTCACTTGTAATTCAGCGGCTGCAGGTGGTATTTCTGGACGAAGTGCAGGTGGTGGTCGATTCAAGAGCTTCTTGAAGTGGTCGGCCCATCGTTTCCTCTGTTTCTCTTCTTTTGTAATTAAATTTCCTTCTTCATCTTTTATTGGTTTCATCTGTGTTGGTCTCTTCCCTGATAGCAACCTGGTTATTTGATACAATGTCGTCAGGTCTCTCTTACCTGCAGCCTGTTCTGCTTCACTTGCCAGTGTGTCGTAGAAGTGTCGTTTGTCTTTGCGTGCACTCTTCTTCACTTCTTTATCCAGTGTTTTATACATTGTGCTCAGTTCCTCTTGTCGTTGAGCATCCTTGCACTGGTTTATCTTCTGCTTCACCATCCTCCTCTCCTCTATCAGCTTCCAGGTATCCGTCGAGATCCATTCCTTGTCTTCTTTCTTCTTCCTTCCTAATACTGTTGTGCAGGTTTCTTTCCACATAGCTTTCAAAGACTTCCAGTGTTCTTCTACACAGGTTTCTTCAGGGATGTCCCTCGACGTCTCCCATTTTGTCTTGATGGCTGCTTTGAAGATCTCCTTTGTAGTTTCATCCTTCAGTTTCCGAGTGTTGTACTTGAATTGAGGTCTATCACCAGCTTCCTTGAAGGCTTTTAACTTGATTTCGAAGGTTCCTTGCACTAGATAGTGGTCTGAACCTACATCTGCTCCTCTTCTTGACCTTGTGTTAAGTAGACTGCGTCTCCATTTTCTTGAGATTGAGATAAAGTCGATTTGGTTTTTAGTGTGTCCATCTGGTGAAATCCATGTCGCTTTGTGGATATCCTTGTGCCTGAACACACTGCCTCCAATCACCAAATCGTTGAATGCACAGAATTCTGCAAACAATTCTCCATTCTCATTCATTTCACCTAGCGCCTCTCGACCCATGGTTAGTTCTCTTCCCGTGTTGTCCCCTCCCAGTTTGGCATTCATGTCGCCCATTAGAATTTTGATATCGCCAACTGACGTCTTGTCCAGTGTTGACTGAAGTTGTCTGTAGAATTCCTCCTTTTTCTCTTGCTCTGCATTATTTGTAGGTGCATAACATTGTATGATTGTGACCTTTCTTCCTTTTGAGTTGAATCTTGCTGACATGATCCTGGAGGAGATTGGTTCCCACTGCATGAGAGCCTTCGATGCTCTTGAGGACATCATGATAGCCACTCCCTCAGTGTGCTCGTGGTTGGCGTCTGGGTGACCGGAGTAGATTATTGATTCTCCCGTTGACAGTTTGGAGAGTCCACTCCCATTCCATCTGCTTTCGCAAATCCCAAGCACTTCGATGTTATACCTTCTCATCTCCTTTGCAATCTGGGCTGCCTTACTGGGTTCAAACATCGTGCGGACATTCCATGTCCCCACGTTTACTTTCGCTTTCATCGAGAGAAGACACATCGGCCAATTGGCTTCCCGAAGGCTTTCACCAACTGGCGTCATTTCGCCTCTCCGATTCCAGCGGGGAATAAGTTTGTTTTCATTTTTTATATTTTGTTTGTGCTTTGAAGTTTCTTTAGCGGTTAGATTTGTTTTACGGGGTAGGGTTGCTAGCCCTATGCCCAACCTTCCCTCTTTACCCGGGCTTAGGACCGGCTAGTAACTAGTAAACTAGTTAACCAGGCGAGGTTAGTGGCAACGGTTGGTAATCATTATTATTCCCTTCAAACTCTTGGTTAAAAGCAAGCAGGAACAGACCGTCATACCAAGAAACTGATTCCAGTACCACGCAGCCGAACTCAAATAACCCAGAGTTGTGGAAGCCAACTTGAAATTTTCCTCCTTTCGCATTCTCTTCACATCTCATCCTTGCCTTTTTGATCACCTCCTGAATCTTATCACCCTTTCTCAACAACCAACTCAAACAGATGTCTGGCAAGCTGTTACTCGGAGATCTCAACTGCACCAGAGTCCGAGTGGATTTCCATACAAACATAACCAACAGCCAGACACCCGCCTGATTTACCAGTGCTACAATACAGAAGTAGCCGAATCTAGTGGATCAAAATCTGCCAGGTAAGTTGAACTAAAATGAAGCGCAAAGAAATCGTTTGGTTGATTTATTTTCCTGAAACACACTATGAGCTGAAACGGCTGGAACAGAGAATGGAAAGTTGGCAGTATATGGCAGGGTGTGAACAACCACTGGCGATTCATACTTGACAAAATCATGCATACCATCAGTCAGCCTAATCCATTTTCAACACCGAAGTGCCCCAGGTCGCCTAAGGTAGTGAGCAGCTTCACTCGCAAACTACACAAGTTGGGAAGGCACCATTGGGCCGAAGGAATGATACCGAATACACAAGCGGATAAGAAGCACATGTACGAGGACATTGAGGGCTGACCAGCTACGGCATCAAGTTAGGCTCATAAACATGTTTGTTTCTGGCCTCAGACGTACGTTCGGCTATGTTGTATCGTTCCGTCAGGCTAAAGCAGGGATCCCTCGGCCATTAGACCCAAACGAACTGAATGGTAGTGACACTGAGGCAGCCAAACTCCTAGCTGACTAGTATTTGCAATTCTGTTAGCCATTGTCAGACTACTCAGGAGTTTGCGAATACCATACTAACCAAGTAGGAATCCGGTCACTGTCTTAGGTGTTGAGCTAGTGCAGCGCAAAATGTTACCACTCACAAAAGATGCCCCTCCGGGACAGGAAGAAAACTATGTTCTGGTGATGCAGGAAGGAGCACCAAACCTGACTGAACCTTTAGGTAAGTTATTGATGAATTTTCGACTCCCAGAGAAAGTGCCAAACCTTCTGAAGTTGGACTTCGTACCGCCAGTCTTCGGCGGAGGCCAACGAATCAGCCCGAGAAAATACAGACCGGGGAAGCTCTTATCTATACTTTTCAAAGCAACGGGAATGTTAATATTCGATAGACTGGGGGATCATCTTATGACGATAAACTTCTTCACTCCCCTACAACATCGATTCAGCTAAGGATATTGCTACTCACTGCAGTAGATAGATGGATTAGTATTGTCTACTTTTGAGGTGGAGTTGATGTCATTAGTGTGAACTTTACTAAGCTTTGCTTCACTGAAATTGAAATTAATCAGGACCAAATCACCGCTCACCGACTGGTTATCCTCACACATACGAGGTCGTTTATTAAGAGTTCCAGCAAGTTCCATGTCTAAGGATAAAGGATGTCCCAGTGGAGTCCCCCAGGGCTCGTTAGTCGAGCCTTTTTATTTTTAAACATACATGAACGACTTGCCTCAACGGGATTTGGGCGTCTTAGTCCCTCAGGGCATAAAATCCTATGCCAAATGTGGCAACAACGTATTTCCTGGAGACTTGGACTTAATAACTCTTACAGGAATTTCCCGGCATTTCGATCATAGATACTTTCACTGAGGTTTCAAAGCCTTCATGTGGTCTCACTCAGGGTTCGGGGTTATAATATTCCCGTCCGTGCAGACGGACAAATTAAACTTAGAACTCATCCAGAGGCATCCAATCAAATCGTTTTGAGGACTCAGGTCCAAAACGTATGCAGAAAGACTGGTTACGCTTGATCTACACCCTCTGAAATAAAGAAGGTCAAGTGGAGAACCGATAATGGCCCAAAACCTCTTGAACACCGTGGACACAATCTATAACTTACTGAATCTCAGTTGTAGCACTAATCATAGTGGACACAAACTAAGCCTAGAAAATAGCATCAGCCTCCCAAGGGCAGCTGAATTCTGGAATCCTTCTCCTGCAGAAGTGATGCAGGCTACTTCGTCTGAATCCTCTAAGCTCCGGCTTGATACTTACTTGAGATGTGGGTGGAAGCTTACTCAGAAGTAATTTCATTTTCACTTTTTAACTAACATATTTCGATTTCTCTTTATTAGTGCACGGGTTAACAACCACAGGATCCAGTGTTCCACTGACTCTAGTTGCGAAAACCAGTTAAGCGAAAGCTTGTAATCCGTCATTAACCATCTGAACTGTTTGATAAATTGAACAACTTGCGGCGTCGTTACAAATATCTCGGTGCATGTCCCGGCACAGAAATATCAGGTCGTTTTGCGATGACGGTATATGTAACCCTTTCTTATTTACTTAATATAAGCAGATGTTGATACTTACGACGAGCCTCTCGCTAGTTCGGTAGACGATGATTACACGATCTCTCCAAATACATCGGAAAGATACATATATAACCCGGATCGCGGTTTCAAACATGACATACCAACATTCCCAGTGACCCAAGTCGAACCATTAAGCTTTACATCAGCAGACTTCCCATTAAATGAGGTTATGAGCTCTCAACCAGGTGAGTTCGTGCATAATGACGTTATCACCATTGAAGAATCTCCTGGAGAGGTGTCTGGGCGTATTGTGTCTCGTCCGTTATTCGACTTTCCTAATCAGAAGGATGCGACAAATATAAATTGCAAGGACAACCAACAAACCTCTGCCGAAATTTTCGGCAACAGCGATCTCTTTGATGCAGGTAAGTTGTTGCCGTGATTACCTTTGATTGCATTCTTAGGTGTTATTAAACCTATGAATGCGACTGCTGAAAATAAGTTAGTGAGTAATATCGTTCCTGTAAATAGAAGCAAACTGGAGGAGCTGGACTTTGATTTACTTGATCAGTTAACTTCCCAGCCTTCTGGCACACTACAGTTAAGTCTGCAGAATCCTACCAAGTGCAAACCTAACCTACACATTAATAAAACATCTTCCAACTTTCAATCAAACCATCTTCATCTTCTTTCAAAAACAACAAATCTCTTCATCTCCAACTGCAGTATTTCGAAGTTCACAGGCAATGCCACTTATGACATTGGTGTAGGGACAGCGAATACAGAGACTCTTGGAGGATGCAAAACCCCCAGCTTTCTTGGTCTGTTAATGCCGTCGTATAGCACAAGTAGCTCTGAGGGGTTCAATGGGATGTTATTGAAATTCTCCTACATCTTGGTGCGAACGCGTTCACCATTCTATAACTGTCTGTTCTTGCCGCACCCTGTCTCTGGATTTGGTTTGATATTCCGGAGCCAAAAACTTTGAACGCCACTTCACAAAGCCTACAGGTTTGAAGACAATGGCAAAACAGTTTGGGCTACCAAAAACCTCACATGGTATGGCATACAATGTGGAAATCACAAATTTCGAAAGTGACCTGCTTTGAGCGGAAGTGACGTTCAGTTGCCTTAGTAGTGTGAAGTTTGAGATACCCTGTTACACCCTAGTGCAGTTCTGCTGCGATGTTTGCACCTCTAAGCAGGTGCAAAATCAGGTGACACTCCCTCTAAGTGACCCCAAGTTTCAACGTTCAGTGCTGGGGTTTATGTGAAGATTGGATTGTGATTAACTTTCTGTTGACCTCATATCAGCTTATTAGCACAAGATAGCAAGATAAAAAAGTTATAAATATAGAAATGTAATTAACAGTCTTAGAGAGTCATAGGATAAGAGGAAGATAGGGTAAATCAACTACGAGATATTGTATGATGTATGAATGCCTCTGCGTCAGCGAGATTGACACTAGACTCTAATATTCACGGTCCCCAACCGTCAGTGTCTATTGTCGCACAGACCCCACCGGCCTAAGCTTACTTCATCTGATACTGGACATCACAGGGGACTTTGACTAGACATGCGTGAAAAACGCTGTGTTCACGGGAGCTGACGGAGGTTTACAATTTCACAAGCCAACTTTCCCCGTTTTCGTAGAACTGTATGCCTAACCTGTGAAATACTAACCTGGTGGTTCCACGACACATGACTAGTGCATCGAAAGCAGCGGTGGTTTTACACTTTAAACCTTAAGTCCTTCGCCCTCAAGAACCATTTTTCACATAAATGAGACGGCAAACTGCTACGCAATGCATTTGGCCCTTAGTAGGGGACAGGGTATCTCGTCGGTAGTCTTGGGCGTGAGACGTTGAAAACCAATCAAGTTATTCGTATTTGCACAGCGATATCGTCGGTCTCTGATCAGTTACAGCTAATTCGAGTTTCTATATGAAGTGGTCAACGCGTATAACCACTTTCATTCCTACTGTCAGACGCATCAAAGCAGACCAGTCGTAAAACAGTATTTGCATTTGGGTGGTAAGAAACTTATTATCAACATTCTCAGTGTGTCCAGAAGACAGTATCTTATCAACATTGTCCAACAAGACTGCTTCATCTGCCTACACTTGGTCTAGTAAAGGGATTAATGTGACGTCCTTCTGTTTGAAGCAAGATGACAATTGGGTAGTTTGTGTAAGAACTATGCTGGAAACAAGGATAATAGTGCATATACTTGCCAGACACCACCTGATGGATGCATCATACTTTACTGACCAGATCTCTTTCCGCTAGGTTCTGGAAAGCAGTTACACTTACGGACACCTGATTGTACACGTATTTCTATGCGTTAAGGCGGTATCCTATCCGGTCGACTGGCATGTCTCCTCACAGTGTCTCTCACTGAAAGGGGTGCCGAGTGAGCATATCACTTTGTTGAAGGCTTTATACTAAAACAACTGGGTGTGTTGCAACCTATTGTAACCTATCATATGAGTAGTGTCCCTTAAGGATGTCCGGCCTCCACGTTCCTACTCTGTTTTATCAGAGTTCTTATGGAAGTCTTCATCTCGTCGTCTGACTTAACAGGGATCGGTCTTATCACAGGAGAATCCTTGAGAGACTTGGAGTAGGCAGACGACATAGTCCTGTTAGGTGAAGACGCTGACAAGTACAGGATCTTTCGGACACCCTGAGTGGCATTTTGAAAATGTTTGGGATGGGTTTTCCGCACCTCAATGCAATTTGTCTCACAACTGGTCTTCACTGGTGCCTTATCTAGCAGTAGGAAGTAAAACTGTTGAGCGCGTTGACCACTTCAATTATCTGGGAAGTTGTCAGTGTTGATGGATCAGTCGCCGACGAAATCTCTGCACTCATCCAACAAAAGACTCGATTGACTTCCACCAACTTATACCATCTATCGTGCCGTCGTGATATATGATTGTCTGTTGAGGGTCGAGTGTACTGCGCTGAAGTTCGCTCTATCTTACTATGTGGCTGTGAAACATGGCCATTAAAGGTAGAGGACATGAGAAGGCTTCAGATGTCCGATCACTATTATGTTTGTGGTATGTTCTGTGTCGTGGTGTCTCCGTGTCAGTAAAACAGAAGTCTGTCAGGTGTAGATTTTTATAGAGAAGAGTAAAGCCAGTTGATGAGGTTGTGAACCTCCATTGGCTCAGGTGTCAGGGACTTGTGTTATGTATGCGTAGTCAGCACCTGTCTTGTCGCGCAATATTAGGTGGTGTAGGTTTATGCTGAACGAACAGACTAAAACATGGCATCATTGCATGAAACCTCTGACTGTTGGACTGAGCTATGTAGGGAAATGCAGACTTTCAGGTTTGGGTTCGCGTGGCCACAGAAACCAGTGGTTGGAGACTTGGTGACATAGCTCACAATCGATCTCAGTGGCGCAGATGTATCCTTACATTATCTTGATCTGAATCGCTGTACTTAATTCAGTAGAGCTGTGGCTCATTGGTCTAGAAAGATTACTTTCCGGTGGGTCATTGGCGGTCCGAGCCCCTCTCCACCTACCGAGGTTTCAGCAGCCAGGTAGTATCATTAGCCCTTACACAATAGGTGTAGCTCATTGCCTGCTGCACGAATGTGCACAAGGTTGCTGAGTGAGTGCATGATGAATTCAGCATTTGCTCATATTTCCTTGCTCTCTTTTGCTGACTTCCCACCATTTCCAATCGCTTTCTTGATTTTTAAAAATCTTAGGCTGTTCTCGCTTGATGCGGTGACATGAAGTGTGGCATCTGGAACTGCTGTGCAGTAATGCCTAGTGCTATGCTGACCTTGCCTGTCTGATAGTTCATCGCAAGCAGCCCGGAAAATGTCTCAAAGCCTAGTACATGAATACCTTTATCGAGTCGAGTTGAATTAAATTTATGATACTTCCACTTCATACATGTCTATTGCTCCAGTTTTTTGTTTGCTTTAATAACGGATGGTGCTGTCTCATTGGTAATATCATCGTATAGAACATTTTCGACTTGATTCGATATCTCTAGTACTAAGTTTTCTGAAACTTTAAAATAGGTTCTTGTAACCCACAAGCACGACCTACAGCTCTAGACAAACCTATGGATACGTCGTTGATAAACTTGCCTCTTTCTCAAAAATTGACAATTACGTCTCATACTGACGATCGTCCCAATTTGTTGCGCACTCCGATTAATAGTGTGACAGCGACTCCTACCAAGCCGATTGATCGTCATTTTCTGGTAAACGAATATGCCAAACTTCACGAGAAATTCGGAGATAAACAAATAATAAACCTTATTGTTATGGGTAAGTCAATGATCTGTACTAAAACACTTCTGGTATAATTTCTTTATATATATATATATATATATATATATATATATATATATATATATATCATCCAGTTTTCGTCATTGTTTCGATTTTACATTCGCTTGTACGGATTATATGTTTTGTGTTCTAGTCTTATTATCAGTTTTCTACCTACTTGTTCTTTGCATCCTACTGCGAGGAGTGGCAGATTGAACCGAAGCACTCTGCGTTTCTACGTTTATTTAGTCTTTGTTCTGGTACAAAATAATTATATCACTTTTCATTGTAGTTCAAGGATGTTATTCATGACTTTATTCTGACTTCCCTTGCCTTTCATATTGATATGTATCACTTGTGAAGCATAAAAATCAGGCTTCAGAAATTTCGATATATATATATATATATATAGTAGTTGTGATGAATGTATGATTATTTCTGGAGTGTTTTGCTGTTTCAATGACTCCATTCTTTGAGTTACTGACTGATAACCAATACCTTGACATGATAGTCAAGCCTTCACATCACAATGACCAAACGATCTCTGCTGGTTGGAACTATTGTTCTCATACGTCTCACTATTCCAGAAAAGTGTTGGTAGTTAAACAAATAGCATCGTAGCAGGAATAGGGTATGCTATGGTTGAGATGAGTGAGCAAGAAAAAAGTATCGCTGGGTGCCTGGACGTAATAACAGTCAAGTGTTTTTCGCTGATGACCAACGTTCCATGTCCATGTTCCACATTAGAAGGGTCATAAAAGATCGGTGTAAACACAGCATACTCCTTCCTACTCAGTAACCTGCTGCCTGTAGTATGGGTTTTAATGGTGTAGACGTAACTCAATCAAGTCTCAATCCAAAACACCTAAAAGCGTTTATATGTGACCGACTTCAAGCAGTTGTCCCTTATCTTCTACAGTCGTACAAAACTAGCCCATTTCCTTAGAGTCCTAACCATCGGCTTCTTCTTGCAGGTATCATTAATAAGCCTAAATAGTTGCGGAGTGTTACCCAACACTGATGTCTTCTCCATCTCTCTCGCTTTCGCCACCCATCACTGCTTGTGATCGACGCGAAGACTCTTGGTCAATTTATGTTCAACTTGCTTTGGCTCTTCATCGTGGTCACAGCCAGCTAGAATGGACCTTCCATCAATCAGTTCGATGACATCGCGGAAATCCAATGACGTTAGCTACCCTTCAGGTGTAGGTTACCGACTGTTACCGCTGCTTCTACAGCAGACTGAATATCACGTAAGGTTTCCTCAGGATGAGCATTGCTGTCATGTTCAGATAGATGCTTGGCTACCTCTTCACTGCATTCGGATGTGACGTTCTCCAGCTGACCATAGATAGGTTTTACTGTCACCTGTTTCCTGCAACCAGTAAGGCTCTGGTATACACGATCCTGTACTATCGCGTGATTGGGGTCCGAACTCATACCCCAGAAAGAGCAGCAATCATCCAACAATAGCTTATCACAATATGAGCTGTCTGTGTCCATCATTGGTTTGATGTCGGCGGCGCCATATGAGACAGTATCTCTCCTTATCCCTAAAGTTGGTGCTGCTCAGAAACAAAATTGCAACAGAAAATCACCGCTGTTCGTTCGTTGATATGGGATTCTGTAAGTACCTCCAGGATGCCTCTCTGATTGACTCAGCTTCCCTACTTAAGCGTTAAAGTCACTTACCACTATGATTATATCCGATCGATTTCCTTTCCGTGGCGATATTAACGGTTTCTTATAGAACTCATCTTTTCTATCATCCGAGCTACAACTGGTGGACGCTTCGGTGGAGATTACGAACAGACATCGTTTGATCTCTCGATCCTTCCTAGTTTTTATAGACCCATTCAGTGGAACAACACAGACGGTCATCGAATGGTATCCAGTCGAGAAAGGCATTTTATGCCCTACAGCTCAACGCTATCCCTACGCCATCAAGTCCACGACAGCTAGCCACTGGGTCTCCGGATACTCGCAAGGTGGATTTTGAAGATTCACTGCGATGATCAGATGGGGACAATTTCATAACCACACTCGGGTCGTGTAGACAAGTCTCAAAGAGCATACATTCATGCGTAGAGATTTCAGAGGTCTGGCGAGTGATGCCTGTTATCTGGTTTGGCATAAAGTTCGGACGTTGAAAGCTTTGACATGAAATTGATAGTGGGGCTAAGATTGAAGTTCCTATGGATTTGATCGTTGGTAGTGGTTGCAGTGTGAGGTTGGGTAAGACCTAAAAGGCGTAATATCAGTATCAGGAGTCGAAGGCAGAGGAGGATAGATTATGTTTGATTGAGTCTTGTCTACAACCAGAATCGTGCGGGTGGTTGACAGTTCCCGGCTGCCCACACCATGGAAGGCTATTTCTTCTTAAGGTATCATAGTGTAGTAATTTACACTACAACGGCAACTACTTTTCGTCTTATCACTATTCTGCTGAGTTTTCTGATATGGTAGGACCTCGAGGGAACAAGCGTTCCATCAATATAGATCGTTAGGCCATTGTGACATGATAGCTACCACCATTTCGTGGTGGTGCAAAACAAATACCATACTGACGGACATTCATCACTAACTGATTAAGTGCGATTTGAGTAGCTTGTGTTTCATCGCACAGTAAGGCGATATCGTCCGCACATTCGAGGTCGAATAGCCGTTCTCCAGGTAGTAGACCTACACCACCATCACACAGCTTCTTCAGAGCTGTCTCAAGAATGTCATCTATGACAACGTTAAAGGGGAATGGAGGAGTCGCGCAGCGCAGCTTAACCCCATTGCTGATTTGGAATAATGCCCTCACTCTACCTGAGGTGTTTTCATATGGGGCTTTTAGAATGTCAACAAACCTATCAGGCACACCCTGTCTAACAGATAATTCCAGAGTACAGTTCTGTCCAACGAGTCGAAAGCAGCCTGAATGTCAAGAAACATAACGATTGCTTGTCTGGAATATGTGTGGCCGATGTTCAGGCGTCTGGTGGGGGGTAGGCACATGTTCAAGACATCCACGTCCTGAACGAAGCCCGACCTGCTCCTCGCGAATCATTTTCTGATGTGTTTTGCAAAGTCTGCGAAGTATGATAGCAGCCAATATTTTTGATGCTACTGGTAACAGACTAATAGCCTGATAATTGTCATATACGTTACGTAGGACCTTTTGGAAGGTGAGCATAACGATGGTTTCATTCCAGAGTGATGGAACACTCAGTCTGCCATACCTTCTCAAACAATCTAGTCAGTTCCCTGACTGGAGTCATTCCTTCATCCTTAAAAGAGTCATGGGTACGTTTTCTTGTTCGGGCGCCTTATGGCGTTTCAGAACTTGGAGTGCCTTGTGAACCTCGGCTTTGTTAGATTGGTCAGTGTTAAATGACCATAGATCACGATACACAAACTGAAAACGTTGGAGTAGTGGGCCATCCAGAATGCCTTTCGAAGTGCTCCATCCAGCGTTTCAGGTGTCTTGGAAGATTGTTTATCGACGTACCATCTACCTGAGAGACCGTCTCACAGACACCAGACTTCTTGCTGTCAGTGGCTCGGAACGTTCTTCCTAGCCACAAGCGGCTTTATTCTCAATTTTCAAGACGTCTTGCGAGTGCGACTGATGCTCGTCAACACTTTCTGGAGGATCGGTAACTAGCCTTGAATCTAGCTCAGATTGGTACTTAGCTGCAATGTTGGGTGCAACTGATTTGTTTGCAACGACCTGTTTAGGGCGACGGTTTAGATGACCACCAAAACACAAGACGAGCTTAGTATTCACCAAAGCATGATGAGGGTCGAAACAAATACTCTGTATTGAGTGGCATTGGTGTATGCGCCCACGCTATCGGTAACTGGTTGCAATATGATCTATTTGAGTCCAGGGTTGAGTGTCAGAGGGAGGACGCCAGGTGGCACAACAGCGATGGCTGTGGCAGAAGTTGGTGCTGGCTAGAAATAGGTTATGATCTGGGCAAAGCTGCAGAAGACGATCCTCATAATCTGACCTGTGGCCAACTAGTTCCCATCAACCACCTAAGCAACTCTACTCTGAATCTAGACACCCGACCTGTGCATTCAAGCCCCCCAGCTAGAACTGCTTATCTGTGGAGTCCACTTGGTTGAGGAGGTCACTCAGCCGATGATAGAATTCATTCTTGGTTGTGTCCGGGCTGCAACCCATTGGATCACAGACAAAGATGATAAGGGGACATCGTCTGTCTTGCCGGTTATTTCTTACTCGAGATGAACCTTGTAGCCTGACGGCACACAGACGACTGTTGATGGGGATCTAGTGGAGTAACGCAGCTTCGGCTCTAGCGCTTATTGCCGTTTGTCCGATCTATATCAAGGTGTAAACGTCGAAGGTGGCGAGCTTAAAGGTATGCATGGTTTCAAGATATGTGTATCAGATATCGCACTGGAGGACAGCTTTACGAGAGCAACAGTTTAGCGACTCGAAACAGTACGGACAGACTGGAAGTCTAAGCGTTGAGGAGCAGCTGAGTGAAGTAACCGAAATAGGTTCATATTCCATTCGTTCCATCTGGAACCTGGAGCCTGTGTGCACCATTGGCTTACAATCAGGGTTTTTCAAGTCCCCCATATGGCCCCTCAGTATCCACCAATCCAGTGGTAAACGCCAGACATTTGCTTTCGGACTTTTATTTTTGTCGAAGCATCCCCACTAAGTGAAGGCAGTGATGACGACGTTGTGAACTCGTACCAGGGCATTTGGGGCGATATTTAAGCATTTATCTGACCGTAGAAGTAATTTTCGTTCTCACGAAGTGAGAAGGAGTATTCAGTCAGCTGGAAATTTTGGCGGAACACTGGAGAGCAGTTCAACTGACCTATAGTAGCGCTTCAGTTTCCCACTTCCACTCCGAATTTGAACGAGGCGTGTATGTTTTTTCTCCACTTCTCTTCGAAGTTGGGGAAACGGATTTAAATCCCAATGATGCCATGCAGCAGGAGCTGGTTGTTTTCTGTTAAGAATTTTAAGGATGGATATGATGAATTATCAGTTTAGTGACTGTAATGCTAACCAGTATATGCAGACTGTTCTCAGTCGTAGAAAGTTTCGTTTTATAACAAGGGAGAGAAGTATTCTTACAAGGACAAGAAAACCAGTTTAACATGGTGTATATGATCCTTGGGTTCGTAATTATCCGACGCCTAACTAGAACTCAACAACAACAAACTCGAGAAAAGTACTCGGATTTCAAACCGTGACAATGATGCATCAGTCAATATCGGTTCCTGAAACTTGTTATGCTTTTTGACCTGAAGGAAGCTTCTGACATTTTTGGTCGAGGGTTGTTGAGGTAATGTTGACGGTGAATTATGAACGCTCTTTCCTTAAAGTCGCGCCGTCATTTAAACGCTAACAGAGAGTTCGGACGGACAAACGACAACTATTGCTCTCCGCCAAGGATGTCCACTTTCACAATCTTAACCGTTTTATAGGTGTCATGATGGGAGTAGCCCTACATACCTGCGACTTCTCAGGGTTTGATTTATTAGTAGGAGAGCGCCTGGATGACTTCAGACGATACAGTCTTGTTGGGTGAAGATGCTTACAAAATGCAGTCTTCCTGACTGGAGCGAAAATATAAATGTTTGCACCTGTCATATTTAAGATAGTGGATTTTTCAGTACTCGTGTACACCAACTCCTAGTTTAAGGGTGAGGAGTGAAGTGGTGGTGAAATATATCAATCATCTCACTTATTTTGGGAATTGAATCAACCTGAATGGGTTGGTTGCTGACGAAAACTCGGCTGAAGTGCAAAAGAGCCTGTTTGATATTTACCAACTTCTACCGCATAATGCATTGGCCGAATATCCGACCCCCATGTCAAGGGACAAGCATGTTGTGCTGCAGTTTGCTAGCAATGCTGAGGTTAGTTGTAGGGCATCAGGCTAAAAAGACAAGTCAGTTGATGAAGTTGTGAAGCTTCGCTCACTGAAGTGCTTGGACATTTATTGCGTGTGCCAAGCCGCCACCTGCGTCGACGTGTGATGGTAACTCAAGTAGAATTGAAAGAGGTGGTCAAATCAAGACGTGGCACCACTCCATCAGGTGTCTTACTGGTCGGTCTGACCCTGTAAGGAGGTAGTTGTAGGTTATCTGGATGAGGTCATCAAGATGACAGGAATGAATAGTTGGGAATTCGTGATGTGATTTAAAACTGACTACAACGGCGTTCATGTATAAACTCCTTTTCATCTTGGCAAATTTGAACATTTTCATTAATTTCCATGGTTTTTTATCGCCTCTCTTCTATGAATTTTAACGTCATTCTTCTATCCTGTTCTTTGCATAATACTAAAAAATGTGACATCTTAAACCTGTTGCATTTTTTTTCCAGGTTCTATATTGATTTATACGTCTTTGTTTTATGCTGTTATGTACATTCTTGACGGATTTCTTGTTAGTTTACCGACTGACTAAATAGCTCATTTCCGACTCATTTAATCAGTTTTAGTAAAGGTCATTAACCAAAGGGGTATACTTGCTAGGTGCCGCTGTCAGCTATGATACACACCGAATATAAGGAAGTATTGTGAAAACTCTGACGAAGATCTACTCAATGTCATTTTAAAGACGGTGCAATATATCGGTGATATAACCTGGTTATATGTATGTGTGAGACTTAAACAGTAACTTTCAGATTCCATTCCTGATAACGACTCAGTTCCTCAGTAAATAGAAAAGGTGGAAAGATAACAGGTATTTTGCAACGTCGAACTGTGTTTAAAGTACAACGATTTATGCATGTTTTTCTGGTGGCCTTGGTGATTACCAGACCTTTCTACTAGTTTTTCTGCTTCAATTAATCTGATATTTACACGTATAATCACGTGCCTTTTTTCGAGACTTCGAAACCAGATTATTGGTTATGAAAAGCTTTGGGGACACAGGACTTCTTATATAGATTTGGGCAATCTTAGTGCAAGTTATAACACTGGGCTAGGAAATATTTAATTATCCGAAGTAGTAAGAGATTCAGAAAGTAAGTTAAGGCGTGAGAGTATCTCAAATATTTATACAGTACTTGAGAAGTTTCCTATTATTTTTAAAGCAAACAGTGGGTCCATCTTCTTCTGAGCAGAAATATAGGTCTAGGTACAATGGTTTCCAAAATCATCGGATTTGTATTTGACACTTAACTACCACCTGCAAAATGTAAAATCCAAAAGCTTTGGATACTTTTCCGGTCGAGTACTATGTATGTTATTCTCTTAGATTGGTAACCTTTTCTTGAGCTATAGATATTTAGTTAAAGTCTATCCCATTAGCATACTTGCATAAATATCTAATTTTTCTGTAAGAAATGGAAAACTAATTTGCCTACTGTTATCCATCCTTTTATTGATGATATTCTTGGTTTCATTTCAGTTCGCTATTGGTGATAGGGAGGGTGGGGGGGGGTTGAGTTCAGCGACCCCAGATCATTTATTGTTTGTTCCATACTTGTTATTAACGTGATCATTAGTGGTATCGGTTTTTCTTGCTTTTTCGTTCATTTTTAGCTTACCTTTCTGTCCTTTGACTGGTGCTTTTTCCACTTAAGCAGTTAAAACCACAATACACAGGTTTGTCACGGTGTGAAGGTTCATATCATTATTTCCATGCGGAACTGTATTAAGGGGTTTCTTACTGCCCACTACTGTTATCTAAAACTGTGATGTTTAAAAAAAATAATTTATTTGTATTCACTTTGTTAACAGGACATGTGGACGCCGGAAAAAGCACTTTAATGGGAAATTTACTTTATCTGTTGGGACATGTCTCCAGTAAACAGTTAGCAAAATATCAGTGGGATGCGCAAAAACTCGGCAAAGCATCATTTGCCTATGCCTGGATTCTTGATCAGACAGCAGAAGAAAGAAATCGTGGTGTCACAATGGATATTGCTCAGACGTCATTTGAAACAAAATCTAAACGGGTTAGTTATCATTAATTTGTGTATGTGCAGCTGATTAACTGCACATCTTTGTTTTTGTTTGCTTCTTCTATCACTCTATATAGATGTACTCTAGGCCTGCTTGTTTACTGTATTCAAAATGTACACACCAGAAAATGCTTGTTGCAAGCCAAGCTGGTAGTTTTGATAACTATTCTGTCACATAAATTGATCGGTCACCATATAGTAACGGATGCCATGCCGCCCATCTCTACTTGCTGATCGGATTCTACCGATGAAATTTGCAACATGGCCACCAAACTAGATTTCTCATCTCATTGCGCTTAGATTGGTGTTTGGTTCTTGGAAGAAATATACGCTAAGTCAACACTATAACGAGTCTTCTAGCTTGGTAACTATGTCTTGAACCTTATTCGGTCAGTACATAAGACTCGTCGACATAAATGTGGTAACCCTCGAGTGACGAACCAACACATATAATCCAACCCCACAGAAAATCAATCACGACTCAAGTAGTTCACTGGTAACACGCCTGACTATGGCACTAAGTGATACAGGGTACGATTTCTGAGGGGACTTCAACCCATCAAAAATCTTTAGATAAGACCCTCCGTTTCTTCTAATCTGGTTGATTGTATGTTTCCTGGTTTTACTCTTTCATATTTGTCGGAAGCATCTTTATTGCATCAAGTCAGACGACAGAAGTTTCGTGAAAAAGACTAACTAAATTTTATATAAGCAAGAAAGGGAGATAGATTAATCCAACAACCATCAGATTATCATTTGACTATCTGAGATGACCGTAGTTTGGCAGATTAGTATTCATACTGGGTGGTGATTGAAGATGAGATGAAAATCTAGACTGTGATCGGATTCGAACTAGCGACCACCGGGTTACCGATGCTCTGCTCTACCAACTGAGCTACGAGGTCCGACTGCTGACGGCCACGGTCCAGATTTCTATTTCACCTTCAATCATCACCCAGCATAAATACTAGTCTGCCAAACTACGGCTATTTCATAGTCAAATGATGATCAATATGATGCTCCCCCTCTCTGATTCAGCTAGATTTGGATTGGGATGAGAAGTCCTGACTAGGCAGCCAATGTGAATACGACGAAGCGGTAGTAACGCATCACTAATTCACATGGTAGTAGGGGGGGAAACCCTAGGTGATTGAAGTGAAATTAAAAATCTGGTCAGCAGTCGAACTTCGTAACTCAGTCGGTAGAGCACCGAGCCGGTAACCCGGTGGTCTCTGGTTCGAATCCGGCCACAGTCCAGATTTTCATCTCACCTTCAGCCATCAGACTACTTTAGAATGAAAATATATTTTCTGACTTGCACATCTTGGTTTGCTACTTCATGTTAGGCTGCTGCTGTTATGAATTGGTGATGTGCCTCAAATTGTACTTTTGTGTCGATTTCTAAGTAATTTTCCTTGTTGGTATCCAGACATTCATCTTTTGACTGTCAAAGTGGCTTGGACATCCAGGTTATTGTCTTTGGCGATCTACAAAAAATATATGTCACAGCATAATACAAACTTGTGTTCGATTACTGCACTGCACAAATCCGGGAGCTATGATAACCGATGAGATCGCTATCAGCCTATTAAACTCTGTGGCTATTTAGTTAACCATGAAGATGTAGAGTTCATTGATTATGGAAAAGACACCTTTCAACATCTGTTTTTATCCCACTGGTATTTATTTTATCTTAATTTTAGTACTGTTTCTCATTGCTATTCTTGTGGAGTTGCAGGTTATTGGTTTGGGGAGATAACATCCAACCAGTGGGTTATGTGTTCGAACACCTCTCCACCTACCCAGATCTTGGCAGCCAGGAAATATCATCAGCCCTCACACACTAGGTGTTGCTCATTGTCTGCTACACGAATGTGCTCTCTATTCTTCCCTTCATAAATAAACATATGGTAGCTAGTATTGCATTACGACCGAGTATTGACGATAATGGGCTTAACAGAAAGTCGTTTGGAATCATCCTAGGAATTCATTTATCGCTGGAATTACTTCAGCTTTGATTCTTAACTCTGTATCATAGTTTCTACAGCCAAAAAGCTCTGTGTTTCATACATATTTCATCTCACTTCTAAAAGATTGCTCTAATGGATGCTCCAGGACACAAGGATTTCGTTCCGCAAGTTATCGGAGGTGCAACGCAAGCTGATGCTGCTCTCCTGGTAATCAATGCTACTCGAGGTGAATTTGAGACTGGAATTGGCACTGGTGGTCAGACAAGAGAACATGCCCGACTAGCTCGTTTGCTAGGCGTTTCCCGTTTAATTGTAGCTATAAATAAAATGGATACAGTGGATTGGTGCGAATCAAGATATCATGAAATCCAGTCGCAAATATCGGGTTTCTTGAAGTCAATGAATTTCTCCGGAGTTGTATATTGTCCAGTGTCTGGGTTAACTGGAGTGAATTTAATACAACAAGATATATCCAATGGTAAAAATGCCTCTGAATCAAATTCGAAACTTTTTACCTGGTATACAGGACCCTGTTTATTAGAACTTATTGGTAAGTAATAGTAGTTGCTAGCTTACTGAGTAATTATGGCTTTCAATCCACATTTTATTAGGCTCTTTCTTCATCAGTAACTAACGCAACTTTCAAACCACATAAATTTGCATGTTAGGCTGTGTAAGGTTTAGTGATAATTATCAGGTGTTCAAACGTTGATCATTGGGAATGAACAAAACATTTATAATGATAGATTTCTGAAGTTGGTGTTGCAAAAAGAATAAATCCGTCTGAGGCAGTAAGACAGATTCACTCACATCGTCTAACCTCGTCAACCACCTGCTCCTGTTATTCTGTGACAACAGTCAGCAAACCTGAAGGTCAATATCTACTGAATTTCCCGAATAGTTTCATTCATTGAAATACGCACTACGGAACTCCTTCAAACCTATTCCTGTTTCAAAGAACAAATGCAATACAAATTGAAATGAATATGCTTCTTAGAAAGTATTGTGTTACTCCACCCGACTGAGGCATTGTCAAAGACTTCTAATAGTCTTTCATAATTATGAGAATATGTTATGATGGTAAAAACAAATGAACCAGCATGTCCCTCATATGGTTAGATACTACTGCTTGTTCACGGCTTCAATTTCAAGCTGTATCATATGCTGCTTATTTATTTATATGGGTCAGTTTAGCCTAACCACTGCACATCCATATAGTTGACATGAGGGCCTTTAGTTGTTTCGTAGGTAGTAAGCAATACAAACTAAGATTCGTGTTCCTCTCCATGTCGAACTCACCTGCTTAGTGGTCTAGACAGTGCACAGGATTTGCTGGTGTTATCAAACTGTATAGCACAAGGTCATCTAGTGAGCTGTAGGCATCACCTTTTGTGGAATAACTAGTATTAGCTACTAGTTTAAGTGATTTAGTAAAGTCTTGGTGTTATATTGACCTTATTAAAAAAAAACTCGCATGCGTATCAGTTGCAAAGTAAAAACTCAATGGGACTGACATTATGCTGCTCGATTGTTAACCTCATCCTTTTTTTTGAATGCGGACAAATATATCCGACCATCCATCTTTACCATGAAAAGGTAGACTGGTTTCTAACCTGTTTTCAAGAGATTAGTTTGCTGCATCATTTTTGAGTCTAGTTTAAATGTTTTATAAGAAGACTATTATTTGATGTTTGATTAACGTGTTTTGTGGCTGTTTTTTCCTTTGTAGATTCAATCCCACCACCAGAGAGAACAATTGATGGGCCGTTTCGTTTTGTTGTCAGTGACATATTTAAACCAGCTGGTTCAAGTGTACCGGCTGTTGTTGGACGTGTTGTTTCAGGGGGTGTTTCTGCTGGTGTAAATCTACCAACGAGTAAAGTTATCTGCCTACCGAGTGATGTACGCGCATGTGTTAAGTCTATCAGATCTTTGTGTAATACTCGTTCAGGTCAAAATGATACTGCAACCGAAGGTTAGCTGAGATTGAACTGTTTTAATCGGGTTATAAAAGTTTCACTTTAGCCATTGGTCACTCTGACTGGCTATACTCCTTTGATTACCTTGTGTTGTTGACAATGGTAATAATGATAATCGTATTCTGTAATGGTAATGGCAGCTGAACCGAGGGTTCTCTTCGAGTCCTCTTAATCAACCCGAGATGTACTTAAATGTTGTCTGGTTTGAAAAACATGTGTTCTTTTGGTGGATTGAAACTCAATGGTCACTACCTGAAGTACTAAGGTGTTAATCTTCTGAATGCATAATTGCAGTATCTTCCCTTAGTGAATTAGGTCTTACGAAGCGCATACAGTCGCGGTAAGCCGTCAGCTAATACTCTCAACAGTAGAAATGTACGAGTGGAAAGAACATGTTAGTTGACCTTTAAGGATGAAGAAAACACTGTCCACTGACTGGTCTAGTATATTTCACAGCTTACATATTTGCATTGCCTGCATCAAATATCTACGGTTAATAACTGAGCAGTGAAAAATACCATTCCAAAAATGATGCAAATATTTCGTGACCGAGTGGGTTGCAAAGAATTTTCTGCGAAGTGCCTGTTCGAATGTGATTTTTAAGTACATACCCCAGTGATTGTTCAGGGCCAGGGGTCAGGAAGTCCCCATCATCAACACCAACATAGGACCAGGCATTACATTGTGACGGTCCAAGTTCTCACACTTCATGTCAGCACACCATGCTGCAGTGCATTAACTGGTGGGTTCCACCAGCATAAGTCGTTGAGTCATTTTGATGTGCAAGCCTGATCACTATGTCAAGATAGTAGCTATCATCCGGGGCTATACTGCACTCCTTCATTTGTCGCTTCGGATCAATATTAAGGGTTGAATGCACCCGCTTGTTTTCACATCTTACTTCTAACGTGTACGCACTACTTACTCATGGATTATTCAAACTGGCAAAATTTAATAGTTGACTAGTCTCACTATCTTGATTCATCTTCTGACGAGTTTCGTGCAATTCGTAATATTTGTTGATATATACCAATCAAGAAACTAGTCTAAATAAGTCGGGTAGTAGACTGTCATAAATCTAGGTCTCACTTGCTGGTTTGTTATTTGATAGTTTTTGTTTCCAACACTGAGAACACACATTTAAACGTTTAGTGATCAACAATTCTAATGTAGGATTGTTTCAGTTGGCTCTAAGTAAGTTAAGTTAAACACTAATAGTATTTTAGACAGTACAGTCTAGCGGTGAAAAGTTATTTTCTAAAGAAATGTCAATTTCATTATGTCAACTGGGTTTTATGTGAATTAAAGCGTCAATAAAGGACTAGAGTAATTATGTACACAGTTGCACAAGTTCAAACATTGTTGCATAATTTATACTTTGTAGTAATTGTGATCCATGGAAAGAATTGAAGATTATTTTGAAAGTTCAGTTGTTGATCCCAACTACGTAAGAATGATTACAGGCACGAAATCAACGTAGAGCCCTTGCATAGAAGTGCACCAGTTCCAGTTGTCACATTTCACAGTAGTATACAAACAACAGGTGCATAGAAAAACAATGATATCAAAGTAGACAAAGTTGTGTGAGAGAATAGACAATTTGAAGATAAAGGTTAGTGAGAATATTCAAGTTTGTAGAAGACGTGAAACAGTGAATACGTCTGCACCATTGTCACCAAGAGTTCTCAAACACTGATTCCCATCGTCTCGAAGACCTCAGTCAGGCAGTCCACATCTCCCAACACACACCTCACACCAACAGTCATGGACTTCATCGACTGCTTCCATGTCTTGCTCTGGCCACCCTGAACCCTATTCCAATCTAATCCAGCTTCCCTTGGTCAGTTAACGTTTCAGTTTCTCCCTCTCCTCGTTGTTCTCTGAGCCAGCTGGGATGATTCTTCTCGCCTCAGCCAGCTTGGATGACGTTGCAAAGATCCTCTGGAATTCGCAAACTACTGTATGCGGGTAACCAAGTATCTTTACCGCTTATGTAAAAGCAAGACTTGGACACTATAGTAGAATTTAATTGTATACAGTACTTCCCTTTTGCGAATTTGATTGTAATTTCACTTTAGTTGATTTATTAGGTGTATCAATTTGTTGTCCACAACCATCTTGATATTTCCATGGATAATAAATTCTGTACAAAACTTAATCCGGTAAATAACTTGGTTCCGCTGTGTGGTACATGTAATAAATCAAATTTATTTACCTCTGTTTCTACTGGAAAATGAATGTCATGCCAAGTTTTCTCAGTATAAGGATTGCGGTCAAGTTTCAATAAATGCTTCTCTCTCTCTGAAAATCTGTATTTCACTTTCTCATCTTCCAATCGATCATGGACGGGCTTTACTGTCGTCTGTTTTCTGCTACCAAACTTTATGATCATTTACACTGAGTTGACTGTCAATCGTAGGTTCCAAGATGAAATTACAGTTTCAAGCCTCTCTATTCTGCTATTTGTCGCTTGAGTAACTTGTAGTTTCTACCGAAATTTATCTGGTATTACAAATGACTTGCTTTAGCAGTTGTTACTTGGTTCACGTTGACCTGAGATTATGCCGTCGTGGTGATGCTGGTTGTTTTCACTTGAATATTTTCTCTTTTTCAGCATCCATTGGAGTAGACGGTCTACCCCGAACACATGTTAAAATCCACATATGTACCGACCACTTGTTCACCTTTGTGCTATGCTATCTAGGATTCTTGTATACTCTCCCAATTATCATGCTTCTAAATATATCTTAGACTACTAAATTAACTAAGTTACGGCGTTTTTGTTTGATAAAACTATTCATTTCTCATGTGCTGACACACTTTTGCTACACAACCTGGTAGGATTGATAAAATTTTCTAGTTAACTGATCAGACTTCTTCATTTTTCACATCCCTGCTACTTATTGGTACTTGTAATACCTCAACTGGTTATTTTACTGGATTGAGTTAACTGGTCTCTATTGACATATAGGGTACTTGAACCAATGATTCTGATTCTCTAGCCACCAACAAGCAAATGACATCAAATTAAAAAAACATGGGTAATGAGTAGTTTTATCCAACAAAAAGATTCTTTAGTGCTCGCAGGTTTTTAATGATTCTCCAACTGATGTCAGTGCGTAATAAGTACTACCTTGAAATCAATCCCCACCAATCCAAAAATTAAATTTTTTATCTTATTCAATGTAGTAGTCTACAACATAGACTAAATAATCTGTAAAATCCTAATTCAGGGTTGCACATCATTTTCATCAGTCTATTAAAAGAAATAAGAAGACAGCTTGCTTGACCGAGTTGTGAGGCTTCCTCAGTTGAAGTGATTAGAATGTGTATTTTTTCCATGTCATACCAGCGTCCACCCGTAAGCGTCACTTTAACTGGTGTAAGATTAAATTAGAAAAGGTGGTGAGCATGTCAGGGTCAACTGACTTTTACTGTAAGTCGTGTTGGAGGAAAGTACTGAAGTCAGAGAGGACCGTAATTGCCAAGTGCATTATTATAAGTGAGGATAATATTTCATGGATCATGAATCACTTATAATAATGGACTTTATGATTCCACTTGTAAAAATGAAGCATTTGTCATTGTCTATCTCAACTTATGTATAAAGAACTGAAATCGATGCTTGTCTAGACGTTTAGCGATGTAGTTCAGAATCGACGGTAGTAATACGGCCTAAAGTATACTGATGGTCTTTTAATGGATTTCAGTGAAATTGGGTTTTGTGGTCAGTAGGTAGGCAGGAGAAAGTTCGATTTTGAGTAATCGCTTATCTATACGAATATTTTTATTTATTTAATTTATTTCAGGTGATCTTGGCGGAAAGTTGTTAGATCAAGTAGTAAAATTTGCATTTGCCGGTGATCAGGTGGCACTTATGCTTACTGATATCGATCCGTTCCAAACTCTTATTCCTGGTGATCTGCTTACCGACCCAGATAATCCGATCCCATCAGCCACTTGTATATCCGCTAAGCTGTTGGTATTCGCTATTCGACAGCCTATTACAAAAGGCTACCCGGTGAGTGTTTTTACTATTATTAGTTCAAAATGGTATAATCATCAATAAATCCCTCCAAACCCTCCAACTGTGTTGTTACTATTATTTGTACCCGTCTTTATTTGTAATAGTCAATCATGTGACCACGAGCGACAGGTGCTGCTACCTTAACATGGTGGTTGGGCTTGTATACTGCAGTGACCCAACGAGCTGTTTTGTAGAACATTTCCCTCGAGGACTTACCGTGCCAGAAGGGTCTATTGAATAGCGGTAAGACAAAAGGGATTACCATTACGGTGTAGATAGCTACGCTATAACTCGGAACACACACAGCTGCAATGTTCCAGTTTGATATGATCAGTTCTTTTATGCCTTACAACATTTTGACGAAATTCACTTCACAATTGAAGAGAAATCAAATAACAAACTTGCATTTTTAGATATTCTGATCACTTGAATGGATTCGAGGAAATTGGAAAATGAAATATGCAGAAAACCAACTCATTTCTGCCAAATCCGCAAATAAAATAGGAACAACCCAACAGAACACCAAATCAGTTGTGTAGAAACATTGCTCAAAAAAAAGAGACACACTGTAGTGTATCAACCCTGTGGAGAAAAGAAGAGAACTATTTGATAACTTTTCCAGAAGAACGGCTATCCACCTAACTTCATCAAAAGATGTTTACATAATTCGTAGTTAACCAAAAAGTAAACCTCGAAAACCAGCAGATGGATTGTCCTACCCCACATAAAGAACGTTACAGACCATGTCTACACTATTGAAGTCTTTTGGAATCGCTGTTTCACAAGACCACAAAACCTACACTTCTCGATATACAGACCGAAAGATTTGATAGCAAGGGAAGACAAACCAAAAGTTATTTACCACATAAACTCCAGAAACTGTGAAAAACACTACATCAGACAGAGTGGTAGCCCTCTTCGTATTCGTCTATATGAATATCAACTGGCAGTAGAGCGTCATGTTATATCTTCGCTCATATCAGTGCATACGAACAACTGTGAACATGAATTTGACTGGGGAAATGTGAAAATCCTGAATAGACGAAATACAAAGAATGCCATAGGAATTTTAGAAGCTTGGCATTCAGATCAGTCAGCGACCAACCAACACATTGACATTAACCCAATCTGTCAGCCAATAAGAAACAACAAGAAGGTCAAATTTTAGGTCATCAGGACAACCAATCGAAACAAATATGGAGACAATGATAAGACCTAGACAGAAACAACCAATCACACATCAAGCCATTGGGACATGCTACCAAATAAATTTTGGAGAAAACCCGATAGCTTACTTCTTTCTGAAGTTTGTGCTAATGATGTTGTCTTGCATGACGATGAAAGCTCCACAATTAAACCACTTAGTTCAGAGAATACAACATCTAAAAACGCTATAACTGGTGTCCTAGGGTGAGGTCGTACAGCTGGTTGAACGGAGTGTGACAATAGTTAAATGTAGCAAAGATTCGTAGCTCAGGCTGATAATTGTTTAGTGTTCTCCAAGCTTTGAGGTTTGCCTTCGAATGTTCATCACCAGGCTAGACGACTTCGGCGGCATTTACTTTACCAAAAAGTGAAGCACTTTCAAGTTGGATAGATATTTATGAAGGATATTTGCCAAACTTGACCCTCATTGAATTGTTGGCAGGGGTGAAGTTCTCCTCATTTTTTGACCTATGTGATTATTAATTGAACTGATTGGTTTCTAGCCAGTCGGTTCTTTCTTTGTAGTTTATGTGTTTCCCCTGAACGATGCTACATTCTAATGGGAAAATGGTCAGAAACATCAACCCTAAAAAAGCACACTATCCTTCTCTCCGGTCGTCCAATGCCGGTAGCATGGGTTTTCCAACTGGATTTAAGTTGAAGTTAAACCTAAACTTATGATATAAGTGAAAAACTTGGGCACTGTGGTAGAATGTAATTCCATATTAGATTTGTTTATTAGATATAAAGCGCACAGTGATACAGTATTATTTAATAATAATACTGTATCACTGTGCGCTTTATATCAAATAAACAAATCTAATATGGAACTAAACTTATAATCCCCAAAAGACCGTGTATGACTTCACAAAAGTGGATATCCAGTAATTTCTACAGTCACTCACTGCTATTACAAATACTTTTTTACGGGTACCTCAAGAAGAAGTAACCTTCCATGATGAGGGCAGTTGAGAAGCGTGAGCCAACCTTGGAGTTTTTCAGTACAAACATAGTATCTTTAGGTTGTGATCTTCAGATATGTGTGGACTTCGAAAACAACAAACCCGATAGATTCCTGACCTGTTCTCGGGTGTATTGACCAGATATTCACTCCTCCAAGTCCTGAAACTACAGGCACACCAACGCCCAACATTATCTGTATTTCTCGACCTCAAGGCGGGATTCCACTTCGTCAAACGAGAGATCTCATGCCAGTATCTCTCTGCAAGGAGTACCGAGTAAGTTCATCACTCGGTTGAAAGCTCTGTACTCAAAAACCTGTTGGCATGTTAGAGGCTATGGTAAACTTGTGTCCATTAAGGATATCCACTTTTTATTCAACTTTATCATAGATGTACTTATGGAGGTCTCCATCTCATCGTCTGACTTAACAGGGATTGATCTCATCACAGGAGAATTCCAAGTGAACTTAGCAATAGGGAGTGAAACTGTTGAGCGTGTTAACCATTTCAATTATCTGGGAAGTTGAGTCAGTGTTGATGGATCAGTCACCGACGAAATCTCTGCACGCATCCAACAAAAGACTCGATTGACTCCCACCAACTTATACCATCTATCGTGCCGTCGTGATATATGATTGTCTGTTGAGGGTCGAGTGTACTGCGCTGAAGTTCGCTCTATCTTACTATGCGGCTGTGAAACATGGCCATTAAAGGTAGAGGACATGAGAAGGCTTCAGATGTCCGATCACTATTATGTTTGTGGTATGTTCTGTGTCGTGGTGTCTCCGTGTCAGTAAAACAGAAGTCTGTCAGGTGTAGATTTTTATAGAGAAGAGTAAAGCCAGTTGATGAGGTTGTGAACCTCCATTGGCTCAGGTGTCAGGGACTTGTGTTATGTATGCGTAGTCAGCACCTGTCTTGTCGCGCAATATTAGGTGGTGTAGGTTTATGCTGAACGAACAGACTAAAACATGGCATCATTGCATGAAACCTCTGACTGTTGGACTGAGCTATGTAGGGAAATGTAGAATTCCCGTTTGTGATCCTCGAGATGATAGGTATCAGTCATTGAAGACTGTTGGTGAAATGACTCAGGTATATGCATACATTGTCTCGATCCTAATCGCTATATTAAATTCAGTATTTTTTCATGTTTCCTTGCTGTCTTATGATGACTTTCTCCATCTTTTGACTGCTTTCTTCTTGATTTTTCATCTCGCTTTGTGTGTCGGTGATAATTTGAGTAACTGGGATTGTTAATCGGTAATATTGATATTGACTGACTGAACTGTTGTCTGGCGTAATAATCTTTAAAAAAATATTGAGCAGAATACTTTGTGGTTCTCACTGATTGGTGGTCACTGAAGAGTAACGTTTTTCATGTCGCCCAGTCATAAGTGTTGGCCGAATTCGATCTGTCAATCTCATTGATGTCGCCAATCTGGGAGACACCATGGCGGTGATTGGTTGGCAGGAAGCCTTTCCAGTTTCCTACAACAAACTAACTTCACGGCTTTTTTTGTGCTTGGGTTGTATATGAACTCCAGCATATTTGATATGATTATAGTCGTGGTGTGTATCATACTTTTGTTTTTTTGAAATTTATAATCTGATGGGTTTTCCCACTTACTTTCAGGTGATATATTACTATAATTGTACTAGTGTAGCTGCTAATATTACCAGACTGAGGTTTATAACACACAGGGAAAATAAAATTGAGAAAACTGTTAAAAAGCCAAGGTTGGTTGTTTGTCTAAATTCTTTTTCCTTTTTGTTGTATTATTCAACTTGCAGTAATGTTAGACTGACAAATTAGCGTTGAATTTATTACACTTGCATACTTCATGACATTAGGCATAGAAGAAGTGAATTGAAATAGAATGATATCGAAATCAAGAAAATAGTGATATGGGAAGTAAGGGAATAAATAACTGTAAAGCGTAGCAGAAATCTCGAAGATGATTGTGAGTGAATACACGTCTATCATGGATTCCTAACATTTAGACGACTTCCCTCAGACAGACTACACTTCACCAAACAACTCCTGCAAAGTCATAGATGGTATGGTTTGGTTCTGTCTCAGTCTGTTTAGTTCTAGCCTTTCATCCTACCTCAGGTGATATAGCACGTCGAGGTGTTTGCAATATGCTCGAGCTTCCTGCATCCATTAAAATGCATCCATATCTACGGTCACTCTCCAAGTGTTTTCTTTAGATAGTAATTAGTCAATCTCATACTTATGCCTAACAGTTTTTCTTGACAGCTGGATAATGTTTCAGTACATACTTTGAAAGTAATCGTGTACCAGTACTTTATCAAATCAACTACTCTGAGTGGTTGGAGTTTTTCTTAGTTTCTGAATTTATCCAGACAAACAGTTTATATGTGACTAGGTTGTCTTCTATCTTATGTAAGCTATCGTCAGAACTCATCCTGTCGTTCGTTTGTTAGTAGTATTCCATTTCCTTACCTTTCTTTATCATCTGTTCATAATTTGAAATGTTTGTTGACTCTGTTAATGTGTCATACTGAAAGATACACATATTACTAATTTTAATGTTGCTCTGTTTTTAGATGTCTTCTTGGTAACTGTACAGCTGATGTGGAATTGACATTCGAAAGACCGATTTGTATAGAGGTGTATGAAAAGTGTAAACCTCTTGGTAGGTTTATGCTTCGTGTTGGTGGTGAATCGATTGCTGGTGGTACTGTTACAGGGGTATGTGATTTTCTTCTATTACATTCAGAAAGTTGCACCGTGTTAAGTTGACCTTATCTGTTATTAGTGTAAGATTTGCAAGTAGAATGGATGGTAGAAATCGTAAATTATAGCATTCTTGAGCGTCGTCCTTGAATGACTTTCAACTACAGCAGGGCTTTTCAACCAATATAGTTGTAGACTACACTAATGAGGATTATCTTAAGTGAAATTGGAAATATCTCAGGTTCACCCAGTCATTTTGACCTACTTATTCAGTTTGAGTTTTTCCATAAATACATCTTTCCTAAATCTCAGATGAACTATCCATTGAGGTTGCAAGGTTTATGATTAGCAAATGCATTTTATTTGTAAACCGTAGATATAGATCTAACTTCTGGATCCTCATTACTTCTTAAGATATCAAAGAATTCACCAAGGAGAATCTTCTCTTCGGTGACATCGAAATATTACACTGTTCTAGCTGAATACCTGTTTTGTAACTCACATTCCCAAAACCCTAACTTCTTTTTTCACCTTTAAGTCACACATGTAAAATGACATCAACACCTTTCAAGCTTACAACATTATCATACTGTGCAGATCTCTTCATTAGGATATCTGCAGCTTATCGAAAAAATGTTTTTCATAGAAGTAATTTGAAAAAAATTCACCTCGCTATCATTAAGCTTTAGCAAAGGTGTTTGTACTTAATTAAGGCAATTTTTCAAATACAGGTGTAGTCAAGTAATTGACAGTCTTTCCAATCCACACTGTTCCATTCTCCTTAGTTACAAAAAAAGAATTTATAGCACGGAATACAAGTATTCACACTTCATACTGAAATGAGTGCTGAAGATGTCTGGAAAGACGATGAAAGCACCACGACTAAGCAACTCTGCTCAGAGAACACAATACAACCGAGATACAGATATATTTAACGTCTGTGTCTTTCTTGACACTGAGACGTTTACTCACAGAGTAATTCATACTAAAGTAGTGGTTTTATTTTGTTTATCAGTCACAAATTTCTATAGAAATTCTTTCCACAGCTATTGTTTTTATTCACTGGTGTTTTATTTTTACTTGTGAATTGTTTCATGTATACAGATACTCCCGTCCAAGAAGAATCGCCTTATCGATTTATAGCGAAAAAGGGAATCGTATCACCAAAAAACAAAATAACAGAATCACCTCGAAGTTGATTTATTCGTCATTTGACACCAGAATGTCTTTCACTATTCTCTCTATTTCTATTGATGAATTTCACCTCATGATAGATGTTCGAACAACCCTTACAAGATCTTTTGTTCTGAAACCTTGTTGTCACCGTTTTTCTCCTCTGCATAAATACTTGACAAGGGAACCGCTCTCATGCATTCAAATTATCCTTTGGAATTGTTGTCTAATGCTGTGAACCTATATTTTGATGACTTTACCACAAATATACGGTTGAGTTGGTGTATGTAATGCTGAGTCACAATAAAATAAAACTGTTATTCCCCCTTGCGATTTCAGTGCCGTAATTGTTTGCTTACTGTGCACTTTTTTGAGTTGGAGAGAGGGGAGCTTGTTGATCGAGAAGGTTTAGCATTCATTTCAACTGGTTGTTAAGTTGGTAGTAAATATTTTATACTTGTGATTTTATTTAGTGGACATCTGTGTTTACATTCTCGAAATTCACGTCGATATGAGTCAGTAATAAGTAAATTATAATTCGATTGTGAAAGTATTTAGTGGTCGATTCTGAAGTGCCTCGAGTTGGATAAAGGAACAACAGAGACGGAGATGTTCCCTCTCTGATGTCTTATAAACCTTGAATATTCGCACCAACTTTTATCTTCAAATTGTCTATACTCTCACACAACTTTAAAGTCACTTTTTTTCTATGAACCTGTTGTTTGTATACTACTGTGAAGTGTTGCAACTTGAGCTGATGCGCACATGTATATGGGATTCTACGTTGATTCTGTATATCACGCCAGGTTTTGTAATGTTGAATATCGCCATCACTTCAGGTAGATGTTGATCTGTCTACTTATTGTCCAACCGACCATAGGTAAGCTGTATGACCGTTTTTTTTCTGCCGACCAGTAAGCTGCAGCCATACACCAGCTCGATCCCTTTGGGTCCATCATTGAACTGATATCGGTGGATGCCATATGAGACAGTATCTCTCCTCAAGTCTAAGTTGGCACTAACGAGAAACAAGTGATTATGGAACAAACGATCACCGTTTTCGCTCGTTGGTATGGGATTCAGTGAATACCTCCAAGATGCTTTTCCGATTGGCTCAGCTTTCCTACTTCAGCGTTAAACTCACTTGCCATTATGACTACATCTGGATATTTTGCTTCCAGTAGCGAAGTTGACAGCTTCTCATCGAATTCATCCTTCCCATCATCCGAACTGCAGTCGGTTAGTGGGTGTGTGCAGGAGATTGTGAATAAGTATCGGATGGTCTCACGATCCTTTCTGGTTTCTATAGATCCATTCAGTCAAACAACATATAGACGGCTGTTGACCGGTATCCAGTCGAGAAAGGCACTTTCTGCTTTACAGCACAATGCTATCCCTACACCAGCAAGTCCACGACAGCTAGCCACTGGGTCTCCGGATACTCGTAAGGTGGATTTTGAAGATTCACTGCGATGACCAGGTGAGGTCAATTTCATAACCACACTCGGGTCCTGTGGACGTGTCTCAAAGGAACAGCATACGTCCATGGCTAGAGATCCCAAAGTTATGTTGAGCGATGTTTGGTTTGGCAGAGGGTTCTTGCATAAAATGGATGATGGGGTCTTGGGAGTCTAGGAATGAGGTTGAGATTACTTTGATCTCTGAAAATGGTAAAGTTAAATGAGGCTTAACATTAGTATGAGGGTGAAAGGGCAGAGGAGGACATTTAGTTGAGTAGAATACGGTAGGTTTCATTGGGTCTTCTTTACTACTGAAAGCATGCATGGAGTTGACAGGTCCCGGCTGCCCACACCATGGAAGGATCTTTCTTCTCAGGATATCTTGAAGGAGAGAAGGATTTGTGTGACCGCAAAGGGCATGAGACATATGCTTGAGGCCTGTCACACACAGCCTTCTGCGGATTCTTGTCTTCAGATTTAGTTGATCTAGCACCGGTTAGAGAGGATCAATATCGCTGGCATGAGATAACCATGGGGCAGGAAGGAGTGTGCTAGTTTTTCAACCGACCTTATCTAACCGCCCACTCGTTCCCATTGCGAAGGGAACATCAACATCACTGCTGATTATCCCAGGGAAATACCTTACTGCTGCCACACTCCATCTAGCCAGCAATACAGCTTTGCCCTCGGACCCCACCGTAATGTAGTATTTTATACTACAACGGTAACTGCTTTTCGCCTTACCACTACCCGGCAGGCGTTTTTGGCACAGTAGGATCCCGGGGAGTAAGTGCTATAGCCAGTTGGATCATTGCGATATACAAGCTCGACCACTTTGTCAAGGTGGCAGATGTCGGTCATGCACGAAAAACCGGGCACTTCAACTGACCTCCAGTCAAAATTTCTGACTGGGGTCTCCTTGATAACCAAAATCGGCAGTTGAAGACTAAGAGATAAGGGCTCAGAATTGATTTCAGTGGCGTAGTAGCACCTGCATCTCACCTTATTGAATTTAACTATCGTTTTATGCTCTTTTCTTCTTGGTTGAAGAACTCCAAATTTCGTTTAGATTTCTACAATTTCTCTATCCTTCATCTTAGTTTTCTATACCTTGATGTGCTGATTTGAGATGTGGCAAGCCGCTGCGTGTACTGGTTCGCAGTGGTAAAGAAAAAGCGTTATTAAACACTTCCATAGTTTCACTGGTCCTTTCTCTTACATTTTACACTCACAGCTCAAAGGATCTTCAATCGACTATACTCACATAAAAGTATTCTGCGCCTTAGCAGCAACATCAAACCGAAACTCAGTTATATTCAACTGATGATACTGTTCAGAATGAAAGAAGTCATACTTAGAACACTGGTGTTAGAAACCACCAAGCAGTTATATCGATGATGAAAATGTAAGAAGCTACCAAACTAAGGGTTTATACACAAAATCGTTCTATAGGAAATGCATTTCGTTGGACATTTCAGTGGAAAATAAGTAAAATATAAAAAGAATACAATCTCCTCGCTGTCATCATAAAAATCAATTAAGTGTAAACTGAAATAAAATATGAAGTAGTTTTTCCTAGCGAAAATTCATATCACATTTCTTTTTTGGTAGTCACTGACGTTTCGTTCTTCGTTTTTCATGTTATTTAACCAAAGTAGTCAGTCAGCGCCAAGTTAACGATTAGGTCCGCTATGATTCCAATAGCTTCCGATCGCATTTCACGTAATCTGGACAGTGTTCGAGAATAGGCAAACATATCTTCATCACATGTAAAGATTGGTGCTTTTACATTTGATGGATGATCCTGAAATGAAAAATGTTTAAAAATTAGGAATTATCAGGAATAAGTTAATTTATGGTACGAGGACGAAATACGCGAAATTAAAGGATTGCATTACTACTAGCATCCAATGTACTTACAGTCCCTCCTTCTGTGGCTGAGGGAATCACACTTAAAAAAATCAGGTGGGAAATGAATACCCATTTCACCTAAATTGTAGTGGGCGTTGCTGATAACAACGGATATAAGTAGTATATATGGAGAGGGTGGCAGGAATCATAGGGAATTACCGGCAATGGGTAAGGTTTCTGCCAAGAGCAACGCAGGGGACAACACAGGCGTATCACAGGGGATGCTGCTGATAAGAGTGTATGAAGAGCCGGTCAAGAGCAAATCAAGACAGGAACGGAGAGGAAACGAAGACATTTGCAAATGGGTGCGTTAGTGCAAGGAGTACCATGTGTAACCACTACCATCCCAATTGTTCGTAATAAACATTCTATCGTCGAGTTGTCTTCTATTTCTTCAATTTGGTGTCGCTGCCTTTGGACGTGATGAAGATTCCATGGCCTGCAGAGTTCGAGGATGGAGATGTGAAGGTCTTCCTCAAGGACTTCGAGGCGGTAGCGGAGCTGGTGGGGTTCGGGATCCAGAGGCGAAGGTCGTGGTGTTGGGGACGTTGCTGCGGGGCAGAACGAAAGCAGCATATGACGGAGTGAAAAGTGGTGATGGGAAGGAGACTTGGAGAATGGTTCAGCGCCTGGAGGCAGAGTTCGACAGCTCGGCGGACTGGGAGCAGACGATGCAGCAGTTCCGCAGGGCGAAGCTGGTGTTGGCTGTGAAGTTGACCAAACTACTTCGACGAGCGTTTCCCACGTTGGACGAGGATGCCCAACAACAGTTGCTGACCGTACAGTTCACTAAGAGTGTCCCGAATGCCATTGCCCACCAGTTACGGCTAGTCAATGCAGCCCAGCCCATGGACATTAGCGAAATGGCCAAGGTGACCAGACAGCTAATGGGTACAGGAGTAGCGGCAGTGGAGTCACCAGAGGTAAATAACTGGCAAGAACAAATCAACAACCTTCAGAAAGAGATAGCAGCACTGCGAATGAGCGTCAACAAACAGAGTAAATGCTTCGTATGCGGGAAACCGGGACACTGGTGAAGGAATTGTCCGGAGAGGCGGAAAAGAAGACGTTTTGAACGATATAATATGAGTCCTGTTTGTCCGACTAGACTAGATATCGTAGGAGCCATAGATCGAGGCGCGGTGTATGCTAGATTGCGAATAAATGGTCGGGATATCGTGTGTCTCATAGATACAGGGGCAAAAAAAAAAAAAAAAAAAAAAAGGCAGTCTCACAACACAAGACCATGTGCGCTAACGGTCCATACTGTTGGAGGACTTGCACTGGATATTGCGGGCTTGTCAGATTGCGTTGTTGATATCAAGAGCCAGAAAATTAGATTCCCATTTATTGTGACCGTTCGCGTACAACGCCGTCCTAGGTGCCGATTTTCTGAGAGAAGTGGGTGCAGTGATTAACACGAGAACAGGAATAGTGGCAACGAAGTACGGGTCGTTCAACACTCAGGAAAACAGCGAGGTAGCAGAGATTGAAGTACCAAAAGCACCGTACCCAGAAACGCCAAACATCATGAAGGTGGTTAAGAAATATGACAGATTGTTCACAGGAGATGGAGACCCCTATGGTTATTGTGACAAG